ACCACCGTTTTGTGTATGTGTCTATTTTATTATTTTGATTTTCAACGTAAGTGGCAACAGGAGTTTGACCTTGACAATATTGTATGGAGTTCGTATTATCTTCTTCCCTTAAATTCAATTGTTGATGTTTACATGAGGTGGTTTTAGTTCAAGATACTGAATAGAATTCTTTATATGAAAGATGCTTTGTTAAGATTTAAATCAGTTACAGATAACTTATGTAGGTCTACATTCTGTAATAACAGTGTAGAAACGATTATACATATATTTTGTTACTGTATTCATACAAAGGTAATATGGTCTAAACTTGAGTATTGGTTGTCCCGTAATAATGTTCTTATTAAGTTTAGAAATCAAAATAAGTTGTTTGGGTTTCACAGTAATAATAACAGTACCCTTAACTGTATTATGTTTATAGTCAGGAAAGAAATTTTTGCAGCCGAATGAAAACAGAGTGTGCGAGTTTTTGAACACATAATATCAGCGATAAAGTGTTATTTTGACATGGGAAAAGTATGTAAAACAAATCTGAAAGAAAAGAAATTTATGAAAAAGTGGTTACTTTCTGCAAGATGTTTCTGATTGTTTATTTCTTCTAAAATCATTTTGACAACTAAATCTGTGATATTAAAAAAAAAAGTGAACTTCAATTTGCAACTGATATCTATAAATGTATTTTCTTATCATATTTTGAATGGCCAAGAATATTATTTTGAAATTCTGCATGTAAAAATCAATTCTTGTGTACATAATAATGTGAACGATATTATTTGACAGGGGCGTAGACAACGGGGCTGATGATAGCCTATAATCTAGGCGGAGTGCCGAGCTTTTTTCTTTGCTGCTAGACTAACTTTAAGCAGAACGTCTGATACGGCGAGACTACGAACCGTGAGTCGCGGCTCACGGTTCGTAGTCTCGCCGTATCAGACGTTCTGCTTAAAGTTAGTCTAGCAGCAAAGAAAAAAGCTCGGCACTCCGCCTAGATTATAGGCTAGGGGGATGAGGGTGATGCATCCCCCCCCCCACCTCACAAGGTGGGGGGGGGGGGATGGCATGTACAATCATCCCCCCAGGTTTTGGGGAATGATATTTGCTTACTTAATAAGTCATAATGATGATAATAATAGTAATAATAATAATGATAACAATTGTAATATTAATAATAATAACAATTATGATGATGATAATAATAATCCTCATCATTATTGTAATTGTGTTTATTGTTATTAAGCCAATTCAGACGGTAAAAAATTATTTATGTGGTTATTTTGGGGTTATCTTGTGGTTTGGAAACCACAAGATAACCACAAGATTAAACAGGCGCGGATCTACGGGGGGGGGGGGGGTTTAGGGGGTTTAAACCCCCCCCCCCCCTTGGGCGGCCCAAAAAACAAAGGGAAAAAAAGGGGGAAAAAGAAGAAGAAAAAAAAGAAAAAAAAAGAAAGAAAAAAGAACGCACGCTGGAGAGAAACCCTTTCAAGTGCAAATATTGTGAGAAGATATTCAACTCATCTGGTAACTTATAACCAAACACATGATAACTCTGGATATAAAACTGTGTATTTAACTGTTACTTGATTTAAAAAGACGTTATCATGCACTGCTTTTTGTGGTCTCCATTGTGTGAATAGATGCCAGGAAAACATCACTTACGGGGTTCAAAAAAACACCCCCCAAAAAATAGGCTCGATTATTTTGGTCAAAAAAGCAAAAAGCAAAAAGCTAGATCCGCCCCTGAGTCATCACCCAGGTGTATGAACCTGTCTACGCCACTGTTATTTGATAAAGGATCCCTATGGAAAGGGGAAAAATGAATGGTGTGAGATTTGCGGAACTTGCAGGAAAAAAATAGTAGGTGAGTTTGCACATGCTGACAAAATAAAATAGAGATAGAAGATTAAGAGATTTAAGGGGAAATGCTAATTCACAAGTGATACGAGATAGAGGATAAAAGTGTAGAACTAGACAATGATATGAAAAGAACTAAACAGAAAAAACAAAAAGTACATGTTTATCATTTCAAAAAGTACGTCCTGAACATATGTTTTTTCACACAATAATTTGAGAAGCAATGCACCATTTAAACATTTAAACATAAAAAAAAGAAGTATGTGCTCCATGTTAATTTTTAGGCATTAGTAAGATGTGATAATCTCACAAAATGTGTAGATTTTTACATTAGTTAACAATCATGTAATCAGAGCCTCAATAATGCCAAGTGAGACAAAATATAAGACAATCAAGAAATAGTCGACTGACAATATAGCAATCATGCGCATGATTATTTTGTTTTCAATGAAAAAAGTTTTCTTTGAACGATGAAAATGCTTTCTGATAGGAACGTTTCCAATCAATTAAAAAGAGCGTTAATATAGCTGGCAATTATAGCAATTAATACACATTAATCGGTTACTTTATAATTCAAAGAAACAAGTCTTCTTTAAACAATGCCATTTGTAGATAACCGACATTGATCAAAGACCTTCCCAATCAAGAAAGAGTACGATTCAGCTTGAAAACAGAAAGATACCCGTCTATACCTAACGTCTTGAGTTCAGTTGCTGAAAAAAAGTAGCTCCGTCAGCCGTAATTGCAATGAAATACCTGCACAAAGCAAAGATTACTTCTGTAGCTCCGGGTTTGACTATCAAAAGGGTAACGAAAGCGGTCGAAATGGCAGTAAATCTATTTCAAAAATAGGTTGGATTTCGAAGAGCATTACACAAAACGTATGACGGTGTATGGCTTCTAAAAGCAGAGTTCGAGTTTACCCCCCCCCCCCCCCTCATAACATGGGCATTTGCGCGAAGGGCGAAAAAGGCTATTTGCGATGAGGACGAAGACAATTTTTTTTTTAATCAAACTTGAAAATCAAAGATCCGTATACTGGAAAATAATTCCAGTAGGCCTACATAGGGGTCTCTACCGGGATTGCCGAATCGGAACTTTTTCAAAATCAACACAAATATATAAAACGATTTCTATGTTTCTTAACTTTTCGATTCTCATAAAGTAAAATCTACAGTGATGCAAAGTATCAAAAAGACGGTCGAGAAGGTTACATATAGCGAGCTGAATTCCTTTGACATAATGTAGGAGAAGTTTGCGCGTTCTCGGTCGGTTGGCCTACTCACAAACGTTTCTTGACAGGCTTACCCAGCCATGTACGAAATGTGGGCGAGTACCAGTTGAGAAACTACGGTATTACTCATCCTTTTGCCAAGGCATGACCCGGCGCCGGAGTGCAACGCTACATGACCTTTAACCGCCAAATTTGTGGTTCAGGAATAACAGTTATGTATCCCAAGTCCATGGTATGAAGTTGATTCACGGTTACAACATGTCGAGATTATTTTGTCATAATCCACAGTCTGCAGTTCATGAAATTAGTAGAAGAGTTGTGATGACGGAAAGTATAAAATAACAATTAATTTTGATGAGTTTAGATTCGTAAGAACTGCAATAAGGACTTGTACATTTTGAATTAATGATGAAAAAAGTAGAGTTTTCAATAATCGATTGCTGTACAGTGTATGTTATGAATATTCATGAACCCAATGCATGGTCGTTGACTCGTTGCAAACACTGCGGATTTACTGCTGATGCGGACAAAATTCTTGTTTATCTATCTATCACACTTGAAAACAAACAAGGAACTGTAAATATACTAGAAAATAAGTGACTTATCAGGAACGTGTTCATTTAGATCAGTCATTCGGCTAAAATGAGAGGCGTGTATTAGATAATCGTTATTTATTATTAAAATATAAGTTCGCATAATTTATCTACTACATGTAGCAACAAAATGTCCACACCTAAATGTGGCTATATAGAAACCACAGCTTGTGTGAGGTACGACCCCTGGACACCCTGTCCCCGTCTTTCCAGTCAGTCTGCAGTCCGTATGCAAATGAGGTATAATGAGAGCCCGAATGCCGAATCTCTTTTAAAGCCACACTGTCCTACTTGTAGCTACTTGCTCCCTCTGTATAGAAAACTTCCCAATCGGTGCCTGTTGGTCCCCCATGATCCTCTTTTTCTTACGTTAGTTGAGAGCTGAGTTAATGAGATAGATGTCAGTGACCTCGCTGTGTTGTCTAATCCCTTCTGACCCAGTAGTATTGACGGTCTTTAAGCAGTCTCGTAAACAGTGATGTTAGGCTTGTAACAGATTTGTTAGGCCTGTAACAGATATATTTGGTAGCATTTGATATTTACTTTCCATTTGATATACATACTCTATGTTTTGTATCTTTACACTTCAACTCATGACCTCCATTCTCCTCTCCCCTCTCCACCTTCACACATCACTCTCATTGCTATGGCCACACCTTGTTTCTTCCATTCCATTTCCACCTCATGTGCTACCTTTCCATTCTATTTCAACTTCCCATGGTTCTATCGTTTAGTTCTCATTTATATTCAGAACAACTCATGATCACCCTTACATTATAGCCTACCCGATATGCGTCGGGCTTTATGGCAAGTGTACTAATCATGTAATCGCATTATGGAGACGGACATATAGGCCCGCGCCGATGTCTATATCTCCATAACGCGTTTAGTATATTTGCCATAAAGCCCGACGCATATAGGCTACCTTCCATACTCTCCATCGGTCTATTGGTGTCTATTGGCTACTCAAATGTGAAGGCTATAATAGGCAAATATGTTCAGTACCCTATCATTTCCTTGATTATGATCATGAAGGCATGCATATCGAAGGCAGCTAAAGCTCATAATCATAATTTACATAAAGATAAACAGTCAAGGAATTTGTACACAGTCATAACATGTATTCATTCCTTTTATTAAAACAAATGTATTACCATGGTGGACTTCCTCTTTAATGAACAGTGGGGGGGGGGGGCAGCTATAGGCCTAATTGGCATGGTAAACGGTTTAGTTAGTGTGATGAATATAACTGTACATATTTTCATTTCATTCTAACTAAATATATCCAGGTTATGTAAATTAGATGTTGACAACACACTTTCTTCAAATCAAAGAGACCAAATGTTTAAACTTGGAAGAAGAAAACACATTTTATTGATTTTCCAAACTTTGGCACTATTGTCATCATACATATACAAATTGTAAATAATAACAATTACAGATAAAAAGATATATATTCACAATATTCACAAACAATTTCTATGTAGAGTCACAACTATACTATTTACAGTCCTGGTGAATGGCATTTTTTCTTCATTATCAATGAATTTATTTACCACTTCCTGGAAATGGATTGATGTCCTTTTATGAAGTATCCTAAATTTATGTAAGTCATATGCGATTATATATTTGTTTAATCTTTCAAGCAAGAATTCTTAGTCCTAGACAGTAATATATTCTGAAGCACTCCTTGGATTGACGGAAGTTAGCTAAAACCTATAAAGTATATTATGTGCGATACTTGTCATGGTAAGACACTGATTCATTCACATTCAAGAGTCACGTTGTATCAAGAAAGATAAAAATCTTATTATAAATTCATATTATTTAAATGGCTTTGTCAAATTGCAGGATTCTAAACACGGAGAATGTGGGTGTAAAGCTCAACTATGAAAGCCGTTGAAGATAATTGTGGTTTTTATAATATATTTCGATCGGATATTCGTAAAGTAAAGAAATAAATGCAATACAAAAAAACAGTATCGTTGTGCTATAGTTGTAAACTCGGGCTACTCATATTCTGTATAGACCTACTGGAGAATACAATCTACACGACGGGGGAAGGGGAAGAGAGGTTGGGTCACCCTGCATCATATGCGAGCAAGCTCAGCTTACTTCAACTAAAATTCATGATGGACCAATATCATGCTATCTAAATCTTGTTGCTCTGTCTCTCGATTTGCTCTCTCGCAGAGTACCTTTCAAAGTGTCAGTCTTGTAAAGGTCCCATTTGAGTTTGACCTCTAACCCCATCTGGAGTTCCTCTTCCGGTGGGTACCGCTGGTACTGTAGAAACAAGAATGATATATTATCGATTTATTGATCTATGCAACTATTTAACAGATTAGCCAAAATACGTTTTAATATTATTCAACAGAGGACGAAGAGTAATACCCATTCATGCACAAATCAGGTGATATCCGAGCAAATACTAAACATTTGCAAAACATTCCCAGCCCGTTTAATATAGAATGTTTATTTCCGTCCCAAGAACGTGTTATGTTTCCTAGAACAGAACTAGGAAGGTCGGTGGACAGATGACGCACAATCTGCTCTTTTCAGTCCGAATAATGTTCCGAAATGAACTAATTTTCCCATTTCGTGATTTCCCCAAATGCAGAAGTGAGGTTTATCGATCCTCTATTTTCAAATTTTCTCTCCACTCTTTAAAGAATGGTGATCTTTTTCGCCATTTCCTAATAAAAACACAATATTATTTCTTTTAAACGTCATTCAGAGAGGGGTGGTGTTGGGGGCAACACGAAAGAGTCTTTTAGTGCCCATTAATAATTAGTTGGCCGTAACCGTGGTGAGGTGCGAAAAGTGCATTGCACTTACCTGTGTTCGTAATTTACTGATCATGCGCATACTGGCGTGTTCCATGTAGAGTTTCTTGGAGAGGAGAATACATTCAGCTCCATTGCTGATCACGGCAAAGCTTGGTTGGGAATCATAAGCCATGTCAGCCAAGCCCTGAAACAAAATTAACAGGAGTTTCATGCTGTAAGAATATTTTTTTTCTTTACTAATGATCATATTAGAAATATATTACACGATTGCAAAGACTTTCGAAAAATCAACTCAAGGGCTATGTTTAATACCCTATTGTATTATCCCAACGTTAATGAAATTGTTGCGAGAACAGACAATAATTAAATTCGCATAACAAACTTACGAATACAGATCCTTTGATAAGCGTCTGGACCCGAACCCATGTAGGTTCCGTGTTTTCATCCACCTATATTGAAAACAAAAGAAAACGAAAGTGAATTCATCAAAACACCAAAGTATTATATGAACTGAATCCATTGTGCAGCAATGCCATGCATGCTTCTTGGTAACAGTACGCTTTTTCTGTTTTTAATTAGCGTTTAGAGATTTTCGCGTTGCATGAGGAAATAAAGCACATATTTTCAACAAATAGAAATTAATTTAGTTCAGTCAGTGGCGCTTATAATTATATGATTTATAGCGTATAGCCAGCTTCTGGAAGTGTACAAGTATGATAAAAAGTACAAATGCAAATTTTAATCGTTTAAAATCATTTTAAACTTGCTCAGTATGAACATGGCTTCACACTTTGATATAAGAAACTAGATTAACTTGAAAAATCTCCCCTTTCGTGTTAAGGATTGAATATCAAAAAAATTATAATCATGCTCACATCTATGCCTTCGAAGTCGGACCCGCCGATGTCGTCGAGTAAAGTCTTCTTCTTGCCGACGTTCGACTTCTGTTTCTCAGCTTTCTGCTGCACGTTATGTAGAAACAAGATGTCCGCTAAAATAAGACAGATAGAGATCGAGAGTGCTTCACTGAATGGATATAATGGCAGAGTCCTATCAAACCGATGAAGATAATCTTAACTAGACGTAACATTAACATACAGTTAATTAAAAACTGAATCATTAAGAAAAACACTCTCGTGATTTAGTTATCTAGGAAATGTTTTTTGAAAGGCATTCCGAAAATGAAGATTTTTTTTGTTTAAAGCTTATCTGCCATAGTTTACAGGAGGGATTATACAGCCCTACAAGGTCACTGGACAGGTGGTTATCTCATCAACTCGGCTCTCAGTTAACATAAGAAAAAGAGGATCATGGGGGACCCATGGTCACCGATTAGGCATTGTTTGTTATATAGAGGGCGCAAGTAGCTACAAGTAGTGCAGTGGGCCTTTAAACCTTCCTTTAACTATATTGTGTCTTTACTGTAAATCCGGGGTAAATCTAAATTAATAAACGCAGTCACAGTTGTTGATACACAATCCTTAGTGACTAACACATCAGAACATAAAATCACTTTATCCACAAAAGCATAATCAATAATTGCCAAATAAACAGGGTAGGATGGGGCGAACTCTTTAAACATGACGAAAGCCGCTTCCTGGTAAACCTATAGTTGAAAGAGCAAATCACATTTATATTTTTCAAGTAAGGAACTTTTTGTGCTAAGGGGTGAGAGGTATGGGCGTGGCCACGTGGCCAATCCATTCCGTGTCTGGATCCACCTACAATCATACCTATTGGGTTAACTCCTTCCTCTACTCCATTATCCTCCTCATCCTCGAAGAATACACTTGGTACGCCCTCCAGTGACTTGGTTCTCTTCCTTGACAGGTACGCCTGAAAATGATTAGATTAACATCGCTTGATTTCATTTCCTCAATCTCAAATTTTAAATGCAGCTGGTAATCAAAACTGTTAACCTGAAAACTTGGAACGTGGAAGAGGCAGTCTTTATAAATCTATAGAACAATTTAGAACTTATTATTAAACGCCTCGTTTATTATCAACAGAACTTCGAAATTATGGTCTATTCTTTTATATGAAGATATCATAAATAAACTTAAATTTGGAGTGTAGCGGAGAGGTAATGCGATCAGAGGTATGTAAAATGGATGTCCGAAGTCAGAAAACCTTGCGTGAGGGTAACCCAATTTTCATTTGATAGTTGTAGACCTGTACTTGTTCCTGTGACAATTGCTCCGTGACAATATTCTTCACTGACATAATTAACTTAAACTCTAACACCAACACAACACAACATAACTTTAATTCTAAACCTAATCTGAAACCCTACTAAAACCTAAACCCTAATCCAATAATTATATTCGATGAAACAAGATGGCTCTTGGTGAAAATTGTCACAGGAGGAAATGTCGGGTCATTCTTTCCGCCAACATGGAGCTCATCATGTATCAAAGTATAAAGTGTAGGGATGCTATACAGCGAGTAAAAATGTAATTCAATGTAAGTATACTTACAGATTTAAGTTTAGTTGGAGTATTATGATCACCGATTAAACTCTGTGGGTTCGATGGGGTCGTTGATTCCTTGTCGTTTTTGCCGCAGTCGATTGCTTCATCGGCCCACTCATCATCAGTATCAGCGTCCAAATCGTCTCTCTTGTTTAAGTTGCCTGGTGATGTCCGTTGTTCTATATATTTTGATGAAATATATCTTGGCTTTAAGTATGGTATGTACAGCGCATCTGCGCACGAGCACATAATTATACTTCAATTTGGACTTCATTATTGAACCAACACCAACTTATAATACTTCCGTCCCAATTAAGGACAATGCTATAGTATCACATCTAACTCCTGGTGACGAAGGTATTGAAAATGTTTGGCGGATCGAACTAGCGATTAATAATTTGTGATCCTCGAGGTACCTACATTTTTTTTTATACCCCTCCCCCCTTTTTTTTGTTTTGTTTTGCTTGTCAGTATTTAGGGGAGATCCTGGCACCCTTTCACAATTAAAAAAAACTCAGAATCCGCCCCTTCGGACCTCCCCATTGCAAAAATTAATGTACTTGTGCGGGCTTTCCGTGAAATGTCGACAAAATGCAGCACATGGTTGCTGACTAAACGTTATCCCCAAAAAGAATTTTAAAATGGTATTCACCTTCTTGATCGCCTAACTTCCCAGAGCCATCTTCGTTGACGTTAAGGTCTTTCATGAAGTTTTCGAACTCCTCTCGTTTCTTACGCTGTTCGAAGTTTTCGATGAGGGTTCCAGCCATGCTCTTGGATGTAAGACGTTGCGACCAACGTTTCTGTTGTTTGCTTGCAGCTTTACCGATTAAAAAAACAAGCAAGCAAGAGGATATGTTATTATAATGAATTAGAAGTCAGATAATACAATGAAGATGCACTCCCAGATAATATGGTAGGAACATGAGATTAGCGTAACATGTAGATTCCTGACATGGGTGACAGATCAAGCTTGAACATTCAGTTTGATTTCATTGTGGTTCTATGAGGTAATGTTTTCCGTCATAATTAGATCCCCAACATACCTTGCAAGACACATTCAGCCGTGTTCTGGTAATATTGACTCAAACTGCTAGGCCCGATATTGGGACACATTCGCTTCGTATAATATGCAAAAGCTTGCTATTAAAAGAATGATCATCGGTATTCAGAGTTTTCATACATAATAATATGCTCCAGAACCATATACCACGATCGCATCTATTTCCGAAAAATCAACTCGAGGTTAATTTCAATTCCCTATTGTGTCCCATAGAAATCATGTTCGGATTACGTCACAATTATGTCATTGTGACGTACGCACATTTTATTAGCTGACGCACATGGGTATTGAATTACCTTTGGTTGATTTTCGAAGGTGTTGCGATCATGTTATATTAATAATTTTAGGAAGACAATACTTACCATCCTTATCTGCAGTGCTGTTTCGCCTTGATTTAGGCCTTGCTTTCCGTAACAGTTTCATGACTTGGCAGCTTCCCTGACAAAGCAAAGTAAATGATATCATTGATTTCCATTGGTAAAAAATAAACATGACTATCGAAATTATTAATATCAACAAATTTGGAATAAAAATAAAAACAAAAGTAAAACTACGCATTCGATATATAGATAGTTAGAAAGAAGATATGGAAGAAGAAGGGATTTGATTCATCGATAAAAATAAAGGGGCCAAGGATTTAGTTTACGTGCAAGTTAGGCTACTCGATGCTATTGTGAAGGCTTTAATGGTAGCACGCATAGAGTAAAGCAGAATAGTCTTTATAATAGGTTAACATTAGGAAATTGTAACATCTTATTAGTAAAAAAAGATATTTAAGTGTTTTACAAAGTTCTTCTTATTAAATCGTGGTCAGCTTGCAACTATTGTGTATCTTTTTATGCATGGAAGTGGGACAATACAAATAAATGTGAAAATGTTGAAATGGATACGCAATCAATAAAAGGTCGAGATTATTTCGAAGAATTAATGATGATAATAAAAATAGTAGTAGTAGTAGTAGTATAAAATTAAAAGTAATAATGGTAATTATATTAATAATCGAAAATAATATCGCTAGTGACATTCGTTTGTCTCGCAATGTATGGTCAACAAGGGATCTTAAAGATCACGACGTTTAGTGTGCCGCTGCTACACTTCGTCAGGTGATAAATTAATTGTAAGAAAGCGTGTTTTTATACTTTTATACTTTTACATTTTTCGATACTATATCCGCAATTAGTAATATATTTAGCATTATAATAATAAGGTTAAAAGTAATGATAATAATAGCTAGACAAAAATGATAAGAAAATGAATAATGATAATGATAGTAATATTTAAAGAATAAGATAATTATAATAATCCAAAAAATAAAATGAAATTGTATTAACAAAAATAATAAGAAAAGCAAAAGGGGACTGCTCCCAGCCGCCAGCACGGAAGCAGTTCCCCAGGAGAGGAACCCCCAACCGTACTAGAGACAAGAGACATGTTTCTACCGACGAGTGGAGTTGGTTGATTTGTTATATATAGTATCAAACACTTTATATCGCAATAATTATGGTTAGTAAATGTTTATCGGACCCATGCAGTCAGATATAGTTCATTTTCTCTTAAAATGAACGATAAAACTGAATGTGACAAAAATTGTATTTGTAACTGATTTTAAAACCCTTTTTAATCGTGAGTGGTAGATTGAACAACAATCAGACAGATTCAATGTGCTACTTCAACATAAATGAAAATTGTATTGAGTCTCATACATATTCATAACCTTTATATGAATATGTAGTCAGAACAAAAATCATGCTGCTCCATGACGGTGGGGAATACCCAAAGAACAGAAATACCCCAAGCCCAAACATAATTAAGCCAAAAGATGTGTTGCGCCCTCTTCGATATGGGTTCCACAAATCGGGGGAAGTGCATTGAAATCTCTCCGATTGAACTGCCTATTGGCTAGACCAGAATTTAATGGATGAATATTCTTTTATATCCCCTTTAATAGAGAGCACACATATATATGGTATAGTGTTTGGAGATATATTATGCAATAAGGAGCAGAGTTAAGACACCCGAGATCATTACGCTTGCTCTTATGCTTATTTATTTTTTTAACCGGTGGTTTTTGCAGGGATTCCAAAATTAACGTTTACCAATTAATTTCTCAATAAAAAGTAAAGCTTATTTATCAACAAAACAAAAAAGACGGTCGAGGAGGTACATGTAGCGTGATGAATTCCATTGACAGTATACTTACCTTTGGAATTTTGGACTCACAAGTACTTGTGCTTCATTGAGCCATAATTCCTAAAATGAGCATCCCTGTTAATAGACATCCCGGCCGGATTCACACTACACGGCATATAACCGCCGTGAATTATGCATAGGCAAACTGTTTATCTACCCCAAGTCCATGATACAAAGTTGATTGACGGTTACAAAGTGTCGATAACAATCTTCTTCTCGAAATTTATAGAGTAAAGTTCATATGATTTGAAGAAGGTTGTGATGACGGAAACTACGCTAAAAGACAAGTTCATTTTCGTGACTTTTGATCTGTAAGAACTGCAATAAGAGTGGATACATTTTGAATTCATGGTGAAGAAATTTGAAATTTTCAATAATCGATTGCCGGTAGAAGTATGTTATGAATATTCATTTAACGTGATAGACTGCTGATTAAGAGGACAAAGTTCTTTTTTAAAATCTATATCACTCTTGAAAAACAAACAAATAACTGTAGCTATACTGAAACATGTCAAGAGGCACGTATATCGACTTGTGAGGAACGTGTTCTATATGAGATCAGTCATTTGGCTAAAATGATAGGCGTGTAAGATAATTGTTATTGTGTAGTAAAATCATAAGTTTAGCCACAAAAATTGGCTTACATTTCCATACTTAACGTTGAGTGCTGGTAATGGTGAAAAGAAACAGTGAAACTGTTTCTATTCAAATTCAAATAAATGACTCTTGCTAAAGAGATTTGAAATAAATTGTAAAATTGCTGAGAAAAAAAAAAATGAACATCGATTTCGTCAACAGTCGGGTGAGTACCAAACCGAATTCTAAATTGCTAATAATTATGTCTCGTTGGCTACCTCTGTCGGCAGCATCTCGATTTAACCCTCTCGGTAGGCGATTCATTCAAGCCGAAAAAGCCAACCCACACACAGAAACCGCTACTGCAAACTTCCACATTATAGCATGGACCTATAGTTTTGAGGCTAGTAACTTCTTGACTATACTAACATTTCTTCATCTACCACACTGCACATGCAATGGACTGGTATTTATTATTGCTTTTAATAGCAGGCCCACATAGCTTTCAAAATCTCCCAACGCTCTACAAACCATAGCTTGTGTGAGGTACAACCCCTGGACACCCTGGTCGGCCTTTTGTCCCCATCCCTCTCGTTAACTCTGGAGAAATATGCCACTGCCCCCACGCGCTTAGCTTCACAACATGTACTTTTGCAATAAAATTATTGTTGCGGAGAGCGAGAGGTGGAGAAGGGAGGGAGGGAGGGAGAGAGAGAGAGAGAGAGAGAGAGAGTTTGGGGGGGGGGGGGTCGTTACTCACTGATTTCACTATGATGATCCAGTCAGATCTTCTACTCTCCCGAATGAGAACGTCTCCACGTCTAAAGGGAAAGAAACGTTAGAAATTTTAATTCTGCATCGATCTGTAAACATGAATCTGATTCGAAGTATGTACCTCTTAAAACATTAATAAAAGTAAAGGCAACTTTAAAAAAAACAGACAATCGTGTATATGGTTATTGCACCTCTTAGGAGGGTAATTGATCTCCTGTCAATCAAAATACAAGTAATACGTGTTTACTTATACACAAGTAGATTTTAACCTGGGCGTGTGGTGACATTATTTAGAACATTATGATAAGACCACAATTCATTTTGATAACTCTAAAATCAAGTATAAGCATGAATTGAAGATGACAATCATACATTCACGACCATGGGTAGATGAGATGTTTGTGATTTGTATAGGATTGTTTAAAGGTTGGAAACAACTTACTTGAAGTAAGAAAAGACACATTTCTTCGGGTTCTCTGCTAGTCGATGAAGAGGCCATCCTTCCAAGAAGCGCAAGTTTCTATTAAATAAAATGAATCATTATCAACTTTGATTACTCTGATTCGGAAGTGTGTTGATTAACATTTGATATTTACCTTAGTCTTTTGTTTAAAAAACCCCAGACACAGTGATACAGTAGGAATGTGATTAAAACCACTGTTAAGACTGAAAATGGCCATTTCATTTGGAACGAGTAAACTATCATATGCACAATAAATCCACAATAAATTAAAGTGATGTATCTCATTTTTATTTGGGATATACTGTATCCCCTATGTGTGATAAACAATATTACAGAAACAACCTTGAACAATATTGGGAATGTTTTAAGTTTGCCTGATTTTCAGGTTGCATGGTCTTTTTCAACATTTATGAACATGATGAAATAAATTGGGATAGATAAAAAATGTGACGATTGATCGAATAACTAAATCTATCGTAGTTTCGATATCTAAGACTTAAAACATTTCACATTCATAGAAAATAAATAGTACATCAATAGGATAATAAAGTAAAGACTTTGATAGAATTTGTAGGGAAAAAGGGTTCCTTTGTAAAAAAAGAACATTTAATTTGGGAATAAAAAAGAAAAATTTGCCTAAAGAATCGTCTGAGCGTTTGAATGACTAACCTGACGAAAGCATTGTCATTTTGCTGTGGGTTGAGTAGAGTTGATAGACCACCAGCCATGAAGATTCGTGTGTAATCCTAGAAAAATCGAAATTTAAAATGCCACTCCATCATCTTAAAGTCAATTCCAGTTTATTCTCTCTATTTTCCTCTTTTGTCTACCTCCTCTGTCTTCCTATCTTTCCTTCTCTCTTTTTTTATACCCCTTCTTTCAAATTACCCCCCTCTCTTTCCCTTATCAATCATGTTTATGTCCACTTCCCTTTCTCTTTGTTTCTCCCACCTCCTCTTTCCCCCTCTCTCTTTCTTTCCATCTGTCTCTCTGTCTTTCTCTTTCTATACCCCCGCTCTCTCTCTATCTCTATCTCTCTCTCTCTCTCTCTCTCTCCCTCTCCCTCTCCCTCCTATTATTAATGTGGTAGTACAACCAACAAGTCACTTATTAAAAGGTTATTATCAGTTCTTTTCCGCTTTTTATTTTGTTTTCATAACTTGGGCTAACTAGAAAAAATGCCAATATTCGCAGAGATGTAGACGCACTTTGCCTTTTTCTAACTGGCATAACAGAATGACTTTCACTGAACGGAATGTATAGTTACTTCAGTCTTTCACAAAATAATAGCCAAACAAGAATATGAAACATTGAACTTACGTTTGCGTTGATAACGATCATCTCTATGCGCTCTCTGGCAATGACCGTAGCTTGTCTCTTGGCTCTATTCACGAGGCCAAGTTCCTGTTTGAGGAGCAGAAAACCAAAAAAAATCATCATGTTTGTTGGCCTTTTAGACGTAAAATTATGTTTTGTCACTCAAACTCTTTTCTTAAATGCATATTCTTCTTAATTTCCAACAGAAATGTGTTATGAAATTACATAATAGTTTGAATAGAGTTTGAATGAGCAATAGAATGATTATCTGCTAATAATAATGAATTGACTGTATTGAATAACCATTAAAGAGTGCTTTCGATGTGCTTTTAGCCCCTTTATAACCCCCGTAAACAACAACAACAACAACAACAACAACAACAAACCCAAAAGACAAATAGACAAAACAATGACAAAAGAAAAGGCTGTTCAGGCTATGGCGTTTCAACCCGTTGTTGTGTATCTCAAGAGCTTTTCCTATTCATCTATCTGGAGCTTTATCCTGTACAATATCTCCGTAACTTATATGTAGATGTCCAGACGTCAAAAGCCATCAAATGGGATTCCTTGATAATACATAGATTATTAATGAGAATGTCAATTTGACCTTTTCATGATAACTTACTCCAAATGTTTCACCTCTGTTCAGGTAGACTACGGTTCTGTTCTGATGGGTCCCTTCATCCATCACACTCACAACGACTTTGAGAATAATAATGAAAATAATATGAGTTTGTTTCGTGAATGTATATTAATCGTCTTAGTTAGTTTATAAAAGGTAACATCAATCTTGTCTGGAGTAATGTTCCTCGTCCGGTACTCGATCCATTATGACTAAGTCTTATTTTGGGGGGTTATTTGACCAACCGGTTTTTTAATTATTGTTCACAGCATAGGCCAATCGCGTACGCAGGGGGAAGGAGGGGGGGGGGGTTGGGGTCGAACCCCCCTCAAATATTTATGTGTGTGTGTGTGTGTGATTAGGAGGAACCCCCCCCCTCATTTTTTTTGTTTAATTAAAAAAAAATGCTAATGATAGACCTAAAAGGGTGACCTTACCCCCCCCCCCCCCTCCCCCAACGGAACGAAATGGCGATCGGTCAAATTTTCAAATTTCGGGTAAAATTTTTTTTTTTAAATGTGCCTCTTTGGTTTTTCTCGCACCAGCTGACGGTTATGCAGTGATTCCACTCTTTCGAATGCTTTTCTATTCCGATTTAATTCAAATTCAAATAATTTCAATTCCATCACCCAATCAAAACATAGCATTACGAGAGTTCTAACTATTCACGCTCTTGTTTAAATCCCCTCTGCACTAGTTTGGCATGGATGGATTAGACCTCCCTGCAAGGTCACTGGCAGGTGGTTATCTCATCAAAATCAGCTCTCAATCAACATAAGAAAAGGGGCATCATGGGGATCAATGAACCGCTTAGGCATTATTGGCTATAGAGGGCGCAATTAGCTATAAGTAGTGCAGTGGGGCTTTAAAGTATGCAGACGGAGAAAGGAAAAGAGTTAAGAGGAGGCTGGACCTCCTGCACATCTACAAACTTACCTGATCCTGAGAGGATGAAGTAGAAGTTTTCTGCCCAATGGCCTTGTCTGAGGATGATCCTTTGTGCTTGGTAGGAGGCATACCACCCCACACCTACGATCTGTTGCTGCATGGCTAGAGGGTACTCACAAAACGTCGGGTAGTTCCTCATGGAGATCAGGACCTTGGTATAGAGATATCATCATCATCATGAACAAGGCATATTGAGAAAAAAATAGATTTAATGGGATGGTCACAAAAAAATAACCCCATGTATATTCATATTCCAGACACACCGACGAGGCCGCCATCTGTTGGTTGGAAGTCGGTGTGGCGATTTGAATGACGTAGCGGGATGAATAATAATAAGATATATCATTCAAATATGAAAGACACATCATCACAACAATTAGAAAGAAAACAAAACTTATAAAAAGGTGTCCTTGAACAAGAACATGAATATATTACAGACAAATTGTGAATGAAAGATAGAAAGAAAGAAAGAAAGAAAGATAAAGAGAAAGAGAGAGAGAGAGAGAGAGAGAGAGAGAGTGAGTGAACAGTTGGTTGAGGAAGAGGGGAGAATAACCTGACAGAACGACAGACTAGCTTGGCTATATATTTTTTTGATTTAGTGATGGAGTGTTTTGAATGTGTTTCGATAATATTTTGTAGGAAATGAATAATAAATCATGAACACGTCCGAAGTAAAATAATTGACGATGAACTTACATGGTACGTATCTTTCTCCGTTCTGCTCGATGGCCTTGTTGACAGAATCCTTCTAGCTTCTGCTGAAATTCCAGACTGAAACATGCCAACAACATTTAGAGGCGAATCGGACAATTTAAAGCCCCACTATACTACTTATAGCTACTTGCTCCCTCTATATAGAAAACAATGCCTATAATCGGTGATCATTCGTCCCCCATGATCCTCTTTTTCTTTTGTTATTATTGAGAGCTGGTTTGATGAGATAGCCACCTGTCAGTGACCACCCTGGGTGGTCTAATCCCTCCTAGCCAAACTAGTACAAATGGCCTTTAAGCATTCAGTTTAAAGTGATTCGGTAACATTGTTGAAGGTTGATAAAAAGACTGCGTAATTTTTGTATGAAATGTTACTTATTATATTTCTTCTACTTACTAACTCTTGAACATTTTCCCAACCGTTTTGCCAAGAACATAATACATAAGACAGGCTTTTAAAAATATATCAACACTTAAATATCTGGAATGGTATATGGAGCCAATCCATCGCTTTGTGACGATTTACATTCACCAAAAATGTAATTAAGTTGTAATAATATAGCTGGGACTTGGGAGAATTAAGGAATCGATCAGATCAGTTTTCCCCAATTTTATCATTAATAATGGTCTGTTTTCACTCAAACGTTCAGATTATCTTTACATCTAGCATTGAAAACACTGTCTTAATTAGCACCATTTTCTCTCATCTAAACACTGTTACCAAGCCCCTTTAACATTTCGACACACAGTTTTTTCCAAGAAGAGAACTTGAAATGCGATTTTTTTTTTCTTCTCCGGATCCTAATTATCTATCATTTTCAATAAGAAGACAAGAATTAAATAAACCAATAATAGCGACCAGTCCCAACAATTTTTATTGTAATGCGAATGATAGAAACTTGTACTTTTAAATCATGTTAATACAAATGAATGCTATTGGAATGAAATTACAGCATTCCCATGTGAAAGTTTTTTAGTATAAAATGTGCTTTTCTTTGGTAGAAAATGACGCTTCGAAACGGCGAAATAGTAATGATCACAATATTGCGGTTTAAGAAATCAAGATTCACTTCCGCAAATCATCAAGTTCTCACCTTTTCCTTTTTATTCTACATCTTATATTTAAATTGTGTTAAAAGACTCACTTCTTTATTGGCTCTGAATTTCCTGACATCGAAGAGAAGTTCCTGCTCAGGTTCATCAAGCAACCCATGGATCCCTTGAAAGTCGGAACTATTTGCGTTCACACTATCAAATGATTGATAAAAGAAAATGTAATTGTTTAATCAAAGTGATTCGTGTGAGTTTGCTGTTTCGGGGTCACAATACAATACTCTACCCGGGCGGAGAAAAGCAAACGTAATGTTGTTGCTGTTGTTGTTTTAGTTTTTATTGGCGTGTATCATTCATTTTTGAATATTTAATCAAAGTAACCCTCGGGGCTCTCCTCCAGATGCAACTAATTGGGATATGAATACAAAATACAACGATACTTCACGTTAGAAATGTTCTTAACGAAATCGGCCTTTGATTCACAAATCAGTTATTTACCGGGGGGGGGGGGGGGGGGGGGGGGTCCTGAACAAAACACCTTCATCTTTTATTTACCAAACTTACCTGAGAAAATAAGCCTGGCAGAGTCTATGGAACGAGGTAATCAATTTGCAGTAGATCTTGAACTTTCGAAGGAGCCGCTTCTAGAGTAGGATAAACGAAATAAAAAGCATAAGTGAACCACGAGAATAATGCTAGGGGCCTAGACGTACTGACCATGTCGTTCAATGGGATACGATAATGATCACCATTAGGCGTTAACAAAAAAGATGTTGTGTTGCCCTTTGCGACCGACCCCAAAATCTTGAAATCTATACAGTCGGCTTTTAAAAACAGTTTTTTTTTCATTACCTTTTTTTAGAAGAAAAAAGGTTTATTGAATTACAACATATACTGAGAAATATCAGCCAAAAGAAGGAGAAGAAAAAAAAGTTAAAAAAAAAAAATCGGACCAACCGACCCATGTTTTGACACCTAAAGGGCAAAACAACATTTTTTTTAGGCCTTATCATCGAGGGTAGGCGAAATTAATACCAATACTGGTGGCGATTTTGAGAAAATTCAATTGATGTCAAACTACCATCAGATGGTCGATTTTGCCCATTACCATTTCTATTCAGAAGAAGAGTTATGATCAGGCACGTAGCCACGGGGGGGGGGGGGGGGGAGGAACGGGGGGCACGTGCCCCAACAAATTCCAAGATCGGTTGAACTTTTTTAGACCCCTCCCCAGGACGTCGATCAATTACATGTATATGTGCTCCCCAAACATCAAACTCTGGCTACGGCCCTGGTTATGATACCTTTTTCATGGTTTAAAAAAAAATGGACCGAAAAACCAGGAATATGAGAGTTAAAACACCTCGCTGGAAAAACAATGAGGCTATTTTTCCATACTGATGGATGTTATCGTTGTCTGTGACGTAGAGGGCGTTCACTATTGTACTGCCGACGGAAAAAAAACAACATTTTGCCTGATGCATGAATGATTGTGGTCGTGAAACTAAGTTGGGAATCCCCACTTTTATCATATGTAAACAAATTATTGATCTGAATATTCATTAACCTTCTGTCGCACGCTTCTTATAAAATGTCCAATCTGGTTTGAAAATGTACGACTCAGATTGTTTTGAGTCTATTAATAATAGAATATCTTTTCTAAATTTATTGATAAAATATTTACCATTGTTCATCATGTAACATTTTCATAAACGATGTATGATTTTGTCATTAAACTCGTTGCAATTTTTGACTAACCAGCTTAATTGCACAAAGTGTTTAGAGTACTTTATATAACGGGTATTTGTGCATGTAATGAGTGGGGGGGGGGGGGGGGAGGTAGTTGGCCGCGGTGTCATCGGTGATATTCGCTGTCTGCACACCGTCGGCCACGTATCGTCTCGTTTTGCTATTTTTGTTGTTTTGTATTGCTTTACATAAACGAAAACAGTGCAACCTTTCTTCAGTTGCTATCACAACATTTTCAAATTTTCTTTCAATGAATTATGCAAATCATTGATTAATGAAGCAGTTAAGCTAGTTTGTAAATATGATATTATTGCTAACAAAATTATATTGGTATCAACACGATGGCAAAAAAAACAAAAAAAACAAGAACTTCAACAACAACGAATCCTAAACAAATTTGTAAAAATCGCTTTCCTTTGCCCTTACGAATAACCTGTTTAACAAGGGGCTGCGGAGCAACAATGTCAAACTTTCTTTTGATGTATTATGCAAATTATTGTTTTATTATGAGGTATGCTAGTTTGAAAATATTATAATATCATTGCTAACAAAATTAGATTGGTATCAACACGATCGCAAAAATACAAACAAACCAACATAAAAAAACAAGAACAAAACAAGAAAAATGTTGATCTTAAAGCGATTTCAAAATCTCGTTTTCCTTTCCTTTGCAATCACGAATAACCTATTCAATAAGAAACCGACGCTTAGCTCAAATATAATAATTGTGAATAAATCACAATCTCCTTTATCGTGCTTGGTATATTTAGATTGGAAAGAGAGAGAGAGAGAGTGAGAGAGAGAGGAGAGAGAGAGAGAGAGAGAGCGTTAAGAAGAAGAAGACATCTCCTTTTTTATCGTCTATATTCAGCTGTATTTAAGGAAGTATATTATACACATCATGATTCCAGAAAAAGATGAACCGAAATACAATGGTGTTATTCCACTGCACGAATTGATATCAGCTTTCACTGTGACGTAGATGGCGTTCGTTATTGTAATGCCGACGATAACAAGTAGATTTTGCCTGATGCCTGAATCATCGTGCTCATGAAACTTGGGAATCCCCACTTTTAGGACTACAAAGAAATAGTATTACTCTGAATATTCATTAACGTTCTGTCACATGCTTCTTAGAAATCTCCAATCTGGTTTGAAAATGTACGACTCAGTTTAATTTGAGTCTATCAATAATTTAATATCTTTTCTAAATTTATTGATAAAATATTTACCATTGTTATGCATGTAACATTGTCATACACGATGTATGATTTTGTCGTTAAACTCGTTTCAATTTGTTCTTAACCAGATAAATTGCACAAAGTGTTTGTCATACTATATATATCAGTACTTGCGCATGAATAATTGGTCGTGGTACAGAGCCAGCGGATACCGCCGTCCTCCCACCCTCGTCCACCTAACGTCTCGTTTTGCTAATTTTGTAAATATTTTTTTCTTCAAATAAACGAAAAACAATGCAACTTTTCCTCAGTTGCTATCGCAACAAAGTCAAACATTCTTCTGATATGTTATGCAAATTATTATTCAATTATGAGCTATGCTAGTTTGGGAAAACGATTTCATTGCTAACAAAATTATATCTTTATCGACATGATCACAAAAATACACAAAAGCAAAAGCAAAAAACAAACAAAACAAGACCTTCAACAACAAAAATCCTAAAGGACTTTCAATATCTTGTTTTCCTTTACTTGCCCTAACGATTAACCTATTCATCATGGAACCGACGTTTAGCTCAAACATATTTGTGAATAAATCATTTCCTCCTTTATCGTGCTTGATAGATTCGGATTAGAAAGAGAAATATAAAGAAAGAGAGACAGAGAGAAAGAATGGGTGGAAGAGGGAGAGAGAGAGAGAAAAAGAAAGAGAGAGAGAGAGAGAAAGAATCAGAGAGAGAGAGAGATAGAAAGAGAGAGAAGAAGGAGACGAAAATCTCCTTTTCATCGTTCATATTCAGCTTTATTTAGGGATGTATATATATTATATACATCATAATTCAAGAAAAAGATGAACTGAAATACAATTGTGTTATTTCACTATACAAATTGATATCAGCTTTCACTGTGACGTAGATGGCGTTCGTTATTGTAATGCCGACGATAACAAGTAGATTTTGCCTGATGCCTGAATCATCGTGATCGTGAGACTTGGGAATCCCCACTTTTAGGACTACAAAGAAATAGTATTACTCTGAATATTCATTAACGTTCTGTCACATGCTTCTTAGAAATCTCCAATCTGGTTTGAAAATGTACGACTGAGATTAATTTGAGTCTATCAATAATTAAATATCTTTTCTAAATTTATTGATAAAATATTTACCATTGTTATGCATGTAACATGTATTTATTGTCTGTCTGCAGTTGTGCTCTGGTTAATCTATCTAACAGTAAGTTAAAAACCACTGCTTTGACTCGATCACTCTTATACAACAATATGTATTAATTATGTATAAATATTGAGCTTGTTCACTCACTTTGAACGTATTGAGAAATTTCCCTCGTGATATCGTTTGTTTAGTGGTTATGGCACTAGATGATTGTGTTTATGCTGTGTACATACACGATACTATAATTGTTTCTATAGCGCATAGATTAAAATCTTGCGTTTATTCTTTTTTTTTGGTGGTGGCCAGATAAGCCCCACAAGGCTCCGTAAACTATTTCTCATGTTTGCCTCAAGCTATCATATGTTAAGTTTTTGGGACCTGGGTGTGGTCCTTAGTGAGAGGCGTTGTTGCTCTCTCTGCATGTTTGTCTGTTTCTATGTCTTGCTTTTTTGTTTGTCTGTGTTGCTCGTTGTCGTTTACTGTTACTCGTACACTGTAAATGTTAAAAAATTCCTCCAATGGCCTTATATGTATAAAGTAGTTATTGGTTATCATGATGTATAATAAGTTGAAGATTATTTCTATGAACTGTAGAGGTCTGGGAAACTCTCAGAAAAGAAAAGATGTACTAAACTATTTAAATGCAAAACATGCTAGCATTTGTTGTTTGCAGGATACCCACTTTGTGCCTGAGATAGAATCTGTTGTTAAGCAAGAATGGGATGGAACTTGTTTTTTTGCAAACAAATGCTCAAACGCTCGGGGGGTGGCGATACTCTTTGACGTAAATATTCAATGCGAAGTTAAAAAACAAATATGTGACAAAAATGGTAATTTCATTGCTTTAAGCATTTGTATGGGACAGTTGGAGTTTTCTTTAATTGCACTTTATGCCCCAAATGATGACTGTCCCATCTTTTTCCAAGAATTGGAGAATATTATATTAGATCTTAATGATCCTCTTGTAATTATGTGTGGGGATTGGAACCTACTTCAAGATTTTGATTCGGACTCTTGTAATTACGTTAGATTAAATAATAAAAATGCTCAGCGCAAAGTTTTGGAAATGAAGAACAGTTTTCATTTAATTGATCCATGGCGCTGTACCCATCCAGACATAAAACAGTTTACCTGGAGACAACCTAGTCCTTTAAAACAAGGGCGACTAGATTACTTTTTGATATCAAACCAGCTATTTTCGTTAGTATCAGATTGTAAAATTAATAATAGCTATAGATCTGATCATGCAGGGATTAGTTTGGATCTTATGTTCGGTACTGGTCTAAAGAGACACAAATATTGGAAGTTTGACAATTCTCTCTTAAAGGAAGATCAATATGTACAAACTGTAAAGGATAAAATAAAAGAAATCACTTTAGAGTATATTGAAACAAATGAACAAGATGATACAAGGTTTGAGGATATTGACAAAAACAGCTGTAAATTTATTCTCAATGAACAATTTTTTTGTTGAAATTCTTTTGATGGAATTGAGAGCATGTACTATTATATATGGAGTAAATAAGAAAAAAGAAATTGATA